AGTATCTTTCTGAGCAAGAGAAAAAGGAGTTTTACGACGCGTATAAATCGATGTTATTCATGGTTTTTAACACTCTTGGGATCGGGAAGTATGAGAATTTTGCAGTTGAAATGAAACGCAGGATGTCTGATCCGCCATTTTGTAGTGACGCTTACGAGGGGTATCAACTCGTTGTAGGAAATTACAGTTTTCCAAAATTTAACAGAACGGTTCGTTATATTAGTATTCTTGAAATTCAGATTTTATATGAATAGGGACCTAACGCAATCAGGACGGCAACGCCAAGGAAGACTTCGATTAAAAAATGAATTTCTACTCTTAGTTAGAATTTCAAAAATGGTTGCAGGAGCTTACTGTCTTATACGGCGCCACAGCTCAACTTCAGCATGACGTATAAAAGTAGCGTTGAGTTCCAAATGGAAATTAAAATAATTTGCCGTCGCGGTTTCGGTTCGCAGACGACGCAAATTTTGGCGATTTCACGTTGTTGTTTTGCATGGGACGGCTAAGAAATGTACAAAGTTTCAAAACGCACGTGCTGAGCTATTGTTCTGCCAATTAGATCTCTTGTTTTTCCACGTCCTCGTTGCCGTCGCCGTCGTGGATTGCGTAAGGTCACTATTGTCTTCTTCTTTCTTTTGTCTTGCTTTTGCGTTAATTACCAAGTACATGAGCTGCATTACAAAACGCGTAGTTAGCAATAAAAACTTGAATGACTAAAAAAAAATACTGATTGATAATATACAAATGCTCATTTTTATGATAATTATAATAAATGTCTGAGCTGCAATACAAAACGCTTGGTTAGTAAGAAAAACTTCTTGGATGACTGAAATGAAACTGATTGATAATACTTTCTCGCACAAATACTCATTATTATGATGGTTTTTTTTTTTTTTTCACCATCCTATTTCTTGAATCCTTTTTATTGTCTCGGATCATATTTGATGCATCCTGCATCAAACTGTCAAATATGATCAGTTTTCTTTTAGTCGTTGAATAATTCGTTGTTGTTTTGGAAATGATTTTTGGTTATCAAATTTACAGACAGCAGAACAAACAGCAGCCAACACATTTATTGTCTGGTATGTGGTAGACGTTAGAATTCATTAAAAAATAATTCTTTTGTCTTGAAAAGAGTGTCTCAATAAGGTTCACCGTTAGCTCTCAAACGGCTAAAAATTAAGCTGTAAGGCCTAAGAATTGAAAAAATTCAACCATCAGTCGTAAATCTTTTTTTATATATATAATCACAAAGGAAGGAATGTAATTCGTTTCAGGTAAAACGGCGAAAATTTTGACCGTTAGCCCTAAAAGCTGTCATTCCATAAAGACCCTTTGAA